AGAGCAATGACTTCTAAGTGTCATGTGTTCCTCCATTAATCGCCCGAGTTCCTCCTTGAGTACGGCTATCTCAGTTTCTCTCTCTCCTGCAACATTTTGCAAAGCAAACAACTCGTTACGTAAGTTTTCAATAATAAAATTCAGCTCGTCACTTGCCTGCTTGTTGAGTTTATCCCCATGTTCAACCAAGGAAAGTTTTGCAAAGCAACTATTTAAGTCCTTATCCTGCTTTGCAGTATGGAGATCCGATTTAATAAGTTTCTCGTTCAAATCGACGGTCATCATTCTCATCTTTTGAAGCTCACTCCGAAGATAGTCAATCTCTTTCTCACGTTCGCTAGATCGTTGTTCCAAAGCCTTCATCTTCTGCTTCTGAGTATGGTACTTATTGATGATGTCTCTTGCCTTGAGACACTTTTCAATGGCGTACTTGTGAAGTACAAGATTCTCGGCAGCTGGGTCCGAAAATTCATCAGAGTCCACTTCGCTCAAGTTTTTTGCGTAAGTACCTGCGTCAGATTCAACATCAGTTAGATGAACAGAAGAGGTAAAGCAGTTATATTCATTAAGAAGACATTTAGCAGAATTATTTGAGTAGATAGAATTCTCAGTTGTTTCAGATTCGTTGTCCTCATCGTCGCTGGAATCGGACCACGTAGCCTTGAAAGTCTTGTTCTTCTTCTTGAAATTAGGACAATCCTTTGGGAAATGTCCAAAGCCCTTGCATTCACGGCATTGGTCCTTCTCTACTCCTTGATTAGAGTTCTGAAACTTGTTCAGCTGCAGACCAGAATGCTTCTCTCCGAATTGCTGAATTTGGTTCCTACTTCCATCAAACGATCTATTACCCTGAAACCTCTTTTTCTGAAATTTCTTAAGCTTCGAGACATTTTTGGAGAGTACAGTAAGTGCCTTGGTGATTTCATCAGGATCAAAAGATTCCTCATCAGATTCTTCATCTTCAGCTACTGAGGTGCGAACCTTGGCCTTTAGTGCTAAGCCTTTTCCTTTGCTTATTCTCATAGAATCAAAACCATGATTGATTTCAAATGTCCGAAGTTCGCTGAGAAGATCGTCAATGCCAAGTTTCTGAATCCTCTGAAAGCTCTCAAGTGCAGTGATCTTGATCCCAAACCTATCCGGCAGAGTTCTCATCAATTTCTGAACTTGCCTAGCCTCAGGAACCGGTTCACCAAGCATCGCACTTTGGTTAACTAGGTCGCAGAACCGAGCATAGTACATATCGATAGTTTCATCCTCCCTCATGCGGATTTCATCAAGTTCTGTGGAAACCCTTTGCAGTTTTGAGGTTTTTACTGCATTTGTACCCTCAAATTGTCTTTCCAAAATCCTCCAGGCTTCTTGAGCGGTGGTACACTGAATGATTATCTTATGACGAGTTGGATCTACTGCAGACATGATAGCATACAAAGCACGGAAGTTCGCTTCTTCCGCTTGTTTTTCATCGTCAGTCCAAAGACTCCTTGGTTTTTCAACAAGAACTTGAGTGGCAGACATAGACGACTTTGCATCCGAAGGTTCACCTTGTTTAAATTCAGCGGGAGCTTTTGGCATAAGTGGTGTCGACCATCCTGATTCAACGGCCTGCCACGTGCCTTTACCAAGGGAACGAAGAAAAATTACCATCATGGATTTCCAATAAGCATAGTTTGCTCCATCAAGAAACGGAGGGCGCGAAACAGACATTCCATCGTGACTCATGGTGACCAACACACAGTCCCAAAGATCTTTATCCCGTAGTAAGAACAGGAACACTGCTCTGGTACCAATTGAAACGTATATTTGTCACGGAGTGCGCGAGTATTAGTACGAACTACAATAAGAATTGTAAAATGCGGAAGTAAATAACCGAAGATTAATAAACTCTTCAGGGAAGCGTCCCACTTCCCCTCAGAGCTCTTTCATTGATAGATCACTCGTATACATAGCTTGGACTTACAAAGATTCGAACTCCCTTCAAATCTAGCCAACACTACTTGATCCTATCAACTAATCCTCCGGCCACGTCCCGTGGACTTAAACACCTACACTTATTCCCTAAGTGTACAAACCGTAAAGTAGTTTTGATGAAATGTCTAAAGAATTAAACGAAAGCAGTACTAGTCCTTGAGTTTGTAAGAACTCTTAGACTGAACTGAATACAATCAAACTAGAACTGAAAGCGAATAAAGCTTGTATGGCTCTAGAATAATTCTCAGTAAAAAAACCACGGCCGCCATAAGCTTCTTCTAGGGTATTTATATGATCTCCTTAGGGTTGGAGTCTTCTACAAGGCATAGGACTTCAAATAAGATTTCCTTCCAAGATAATGGCATATCTTTGGTAAGAAATCTTTTCTTCTCTCTCATTAATCTCCTCTCCAAACATGTCTCTTTTCTCCTTCTTCTTTATCTCTCCTCGTGCAATTACCTGTCATATAAAAACCGTAATAAGATCTACATGGACTTACATACGGAATATAAAACAATATTACTTAAGAAAATATAATATGTAAAGATCTTCCCTTTTTATTCTGTGGTTCCAGGTGCTTGTTCGAACTATCGAACTAATGCCAAAATAAAATATCTTTCAATTTTGATCTCACGAATCGACTTTTAAGTAGTAGTTTGATGACTTTGATATAGCATTTTCATTTATCCCTGCGTTTTCTTCTTACTTGTTGTTGTGACTGTCCTGTCCCGTCCCGTGGACAAGTAGTTTGATGGATTACAGTATTAATGTCTCTTGCAAGATATGTCCTCATAGTTGAGCTGTAGTTGATGAACCGGTGTGATCATCTGATTTTATGGATATCATATACAACTATTTGAATTGTTACATCTTGTGATGCCAGTTAAAAGTTGTAAAAGATATTGACTATCTATGATGTTGGATTGTGTTAACTTGGGTGATTTCTAGTTATCCTGTTACATTAGTGTTCCTGCTTGATTATAATCGCAGTTGTAAACTAAAAGTAAAGATGGGCCCTTTTACTTGTGCAAGAAAATACAGTATCATCCTTGCACAGGAAATGACTCCAATCATATAATCTCACACAAATACAGTATCCTCCTTCCATTGCATTATCCAGAGAAAGCATTGGGCATGTCGTATGCCAGCTATGAAATGCAAATTGAGGAATAATAAAATCCCACTTCTCTTTACAATTACAACCTGCTATGTCAGAGCCAGAGCCATCTTTTTCCTTTTTACCTTATCTTACGATATCGTCAAATTACCCGTGCACATGTATGTTGAGTTAACGAGCATTCGACCCTACTGCCCACACCATGTTTTTGATTAACCAATCAAAACCTGGCAATATTTTCACCTCCACCATTATTCATCATTCAAAGTTGTGGGTGTATGCATTGCAATGACAATATCAACTACCATTTGCTGCAAGAAAATACACAACACTTTGTGATGAAGCAAAAACTTTGATCTTCACAGCAAAGAATACACCACAAGCAATGGACACAAACGCAAATCTTAAGACCCGACTAAATTGGCTTCTCATCCACTTCAATTTTTTTCAATATACATTAATCTGATACACGAAGAACTTTCAAATTACAAACATTCAATATCAAATCCAGAAGGAGGGACAAAAAGAAAAAACAGATCAAGGTTCAATTTTTAAGCACAGGCACACGGATTATCCACCACCGCAGCCACATCCCCGTCGCCGGACCTAAACAGAAAATACCCGAAGCCCAAACCAACCACCACCGCCACAAACACGCCGCCGTTGAACGACATGATCGCCAGCATCAGAAGATATCCGATCGCCGAATTGACCCCGAATAAGATCGCCCCGGCGTACCGCGACGGGGCCCACCCGGCCTTCGAGAGGAGCAGGGGCGCGGCGGCTCCGGACGGCACGTTTGACGCCGGATTCTTCCGGATCGCCGGCAGGAGCTTGAACCGGAGGCGCCGGTCCTCCATGTACTGGTAGAAGACGGCGATGAAGATGCAGGCGAGTAGAGAGAGAAAGTAGGCCAGCCACGACTCAGTTTTCCATGAATCGAAGAGGATGGTGACCCTTTTGCCCCAGTAGAAGGTCATGTGCATCATCTTTGGTAGAGGAAGCTGAAAAGTTCTTGCTTTGGTTCTTATTTTTTTTGGTTCTTTGAAGTGGTGAAATTTGGCAAAGATAGGATTTCCTTTATTTATTGGTGGTTTAGTTGTTTTTTGTTTGGTGATGGGTGCGATGGAGAAAAGGACCCACACTGCGGGGCTGGATACATTTATTCAGTCATGGGTGAGGAGTGGTGGATTGGGGGAAATTTATATATAAAAAACAAAAAAAACACAAGTGGACACAAATAAAAGAAAAAAAAATATGGACCAAAATAAAAAACACGTATTCTGAAAATACGTTTTCTTTACAAATTGTCATTGAAAAACGTATTCTCAGAATACGTTTTTCAATGAAAAACGTATTATGCAAATACGTTTTTTAATTAAAATTACAAAAAAAACGTATTTTCAGAATACGTACTTTTTATTTATTTTCNATGCAATGTGTGATGTATTAAATGTTAGAATTGCTTGAAACTAAGACCATCTTCAATCACGAAATGTCCACACTTAAAAATAGTGGCCACATGACATGCAATGAATGGAACTGTCAATTAGGAAAGAGGCTAAAAAACATCCACACTTAATGCATCTTCCAATGCATTATTTTTTTATTCAATGTCTTGACTATGTAAACAACCAAATAACTAAATTTTGGCTTCGGTTGCAACAGCCATTGTGATAGAATTGATTGACTTGGTTTTATTATATCATCTCATCAACATCATTTTTTCAAAAAGAAAAAAAAAAGATTCACAAAAATAGCAAGTTTGTTTCGCATTGAGCATTATAAATATACCATCTATATATATTGAAAAAAAGAGGTCAATAAATTATTTGTGGAAACTTTTAAAAAATTGGTCAACAACACCATTGACTTCCCATTTGTGGAAATCAATTAAAATAATCCAAAAATTATTTATCTTTTGATTTTCTTTTTATTTTAAATCATTCCAAAACAGAATGAGGAAAAAAAACAGAATACTATAATCATTCCAGTATAAACAATTTGGCCGGATTTTGTTTCCAATTATTCGGGAAACCACCGGATTTTGTGAACTATGAAATCATAGAAATCCCAATTTTTTGGGTAACAAATTTAGAGATTTTTTTGGTGAGACTGTAATCGTGCGACACGATTGTGTGGATTTTCTCGGTGCTGTTTGGAAGATTTTGTGAACGGGAAATCTGGGTACGGCTTTTGCTTTAAACTTTTTCGCAATTTCTATCACCTGCTACAATTTCTCTTTCTTTTTTTCCACCATGCGTTTTACCTCTGCTCTGCAGTGCATTTCATTTGGTTTGCATTTTTTTTCAGGCTCAATTGTATTTCGAAGAAGGTATGTGGCAGTATTCATCCGCTTTTGGGTTCTGTTTCGTGTGCCTTCTTCTTAGCCCTTTGTGTGTATCTTTATTATGCTACCTTTTATTTAAAAAAATGGGGTTTTCTGTTTCAAGAATCGGGTCGTACTGGCGCTCGGGCTTCGAAGGTCTGGATCCACTCCAATGTTCCGTTGTTTGATTATGAAGGGTTTGTTCTCACTTATTCTTCTGTTTCGTTTATTTTGTGATATTTCAGGAAAAGTGTACAGAATGCCTCTGTATAGAGAGTATGGAAGGCCTGCGCAGGTATGCCTGGATTTTTTTTTTGGGACGTTAGACTCAAGGGGTGAAATTATTTCGAGATGAGACTAACACGAAATCCTTCCATGGTCCGTTGGTCAGCACTCACCACCTTACTTTCTCCCAAATTTCACATTTATTAGTGCCGCGTTTTCTGATTTCCCATTGCTATTTGGAAGGACAACTCCTCCATTTCCTTGGAAAAGGAACGGATAAAAACCTCAAATCTCCATTCTTAAATTTATAATATTTTTACATCATCCTCTCTCTTATTTCTACAATTTCACGTGAAAGTTGTAATCATTTTGTTGAAATATAATTAGCGAGTGGAATGGTCTTTCTTTTACCTATTTTTTTTTTTTTAAATATACAGATCCACAGGCAACTCTTCGTGTTTTAGGAGATTTAGGTATGTTTTTCGATTTTGGGCTGTTAAGTGCTATGGAACTGTAAGTTCAAGTTACGTCTTATGGCATTTACTATTGTGAAGAGACCTAATTTAATTACATCATGGGGGTCTCGATGTTTCAGGCAATGGTTGTGCCCGTGTTCGATTCGATGGCGGAGGATCTGAGAACAGTGTGCATCGATGGCAAGACTAGGAGGTACGAGTGGAGGGTATCGTAGTTAAAAGGCGCTCCTCGCGATAACCACCTGCCATGAGATAACTTTATAGGTAAAGTTAATTGACATCCGGTCCACAAGTTAAGAATTTTTTTTGTGTCCTTTTCCTTTTTGAGAAAACAAGACAATAGCAAGTCACTTTATTTAAGGGGAAATTATATTATTTTCACTGTTACCTGTAGGTCACTTGTGGAGGTTGGCTGCAACCGGCGAGAAGTAGCAACCTTCTTAAGCGACTACGGTTCACACTGGACGTGATTGGAGAAAAAGCCCGCAGGAGAGTAGATTTCAGTTTGACCTAACGGAATTTACCAAACCTGACTTCTAGATATGAGAGGTCCGTTGTCACTATAACAGCATTTGTTTTTCCTTCTCAATTCCGACGCACAACCTTTGAATTTTCTTATTTCTTTTCAAAAATAGAAAACAAAATCTCCTCAATTTCGCGTAACCATTTGTTTGATTTCCTTTTAGAATCTTGAATATAAATTGGCTCTGACCATTTCATTTCGAGTTAATTTTCGTTCTTCAAAAGTTTCGAAGTTTTTGAGTGGACAGAGATTTTTGGGGCTCAGTTGATAATTGATTCGCCGGACATGAAATCGCTGTTAGAGAAACTGGGGAGTATCGGATTGCATAAGGGCAGCCCAAAGGGAAAATGGGATCAAAAGTTTTTGGTGCATACTGATGGGCTAACTCAAGCTGCAAAGGTGAAGTTTATTCAGTCGATTTTTATTTTTTTTTTCATTTTGGATTTTTGCTTTTAGTTTCTTGTGCGAATTTGATTTATGTTTGCAGTCGGTGAAGGAATTGAGATCCTATGGCAAGTTCTGCATAAGTATGGTTCATTTTAGTAGTTTCAGATCAATTTTGACATAAAATTTTGGAAACCATATGGTGCCTTAGTCACTTGAGGTCAAGTTGTAAATGTGTATGAGTTTAATTTTGGTTAGCTAGAGATGAATCTATCCATCATTGGTGGTATATGACTTTTCTCAGCTTTGTTTGATGTTATGATCGTGTCCCTGACCTTAATTCTTATTGTTGCAAATTTTTATCTACGTAGATTAGGTGATAACTGTAATGGTTTGTTCAATATTTTTGTCTGATATTTTTTGGGCTTCTTTGCCATATGATAGTGTTTAATTTGATGCATAACGTCTGCAGGATATGTAAGACATGGCAACTTGCTATGACAGCTTGCTTTCAGCTTCAGCTGCTGCAACAACAAATATTGCTTACGGTATTTTATTTAGTTTTTTGGATGTACTTTTTGAACTTGCAATTCCTGTAGTCTGAATATTACGCTCTAAAAGAGTAATGTAATTGAGATTGTTAATGTGATTTCAGCTTCATGTAACCTTGCTGTGAGAAACTTAAAAGTCGATAATGGTAGTGAACATTATGGATACTTGACTATATGTCTTTTGAATTTACTTTATATAATGCAATATGATTATAGGTATATAGAGTTGTTATACCTTCTGTCTCAAATACTTTAACTTAGCCATGAACTTCATAACTTTTACTTTTCAGAATTTTCGGAGTCATTGTTGGAAATGGGTAATTGTTTGTTGAAGAAAACTGCAATGCATGATGATGGAAAAAGTAGTAAGTGAGGCAAATTATACTACTTCCGCAAGATGTTGTGCTTATTTTTACCTGCTACGTATTATAATGATATTTGATGCGAGCCTTCTTGAGTTTTTAGATCTTGAGTTTAGATTTTTGTACCATGCCGCATCGTCCTCACACGAGTCAAAAAGTTTTATAATATATATATATATATATATATATATATATATATTGCCATAATACGTGCCTGTTTGAAGTATTAATCCAACTTTTTATGTTGTTGTTTGCAATGTTTCCCACCAAATGATGTTAATTCCATCATTTTTCAAAATGAAATGGAAAACATATGCATATGTCAGCTGGATCATTCCAGGATAATCCACATTATGAACTTTTCATAAAAACACATACATTGTGTAATATGTATGGAAACTGCTTTCATAAAATCACTTTAATCCACAATTACATATTTAAAATCGTATAATACTATTATTCGACATTAGTTCATACCTTTCATATCCATTCAGTGAGCTGTTCAGCCAATCATGTTACTTTGTTTATGTTCTTTGCAACGCCGAATATACAACATGCCAAACAAAAATATGTTTTGAATAACTTGAAAAGACTGATTACATTTAAAAGAAAATTTGTAAATATGTGACAAATTGTATGATTTTCAAACATATATATAGTGTTTAAAACTCAGTAATTACTCAAATAATAACATATCATCGGTTAAAACATTGTAGTTCCACATAAGAAAAAAAAATCATATATGCCAGATTGCTTCATTTTGGACCGTGCGACTATTTTGACTTATTATCGATTGTCTGATTTATTAGGACCGTGCGATTAGTTTGACTTATTTTCAATTTTCCGTTTTATACATAAAAAAATTCATTTTTTTAAAAAAATTTCGGGGGTCAGAAACAATCCTTATCACATATTGACATATTTCCTAAGAAACGTGTGTTTAGTTACAACCAGTTGTATGTTCACTAATCGAAATGGTTTGAAAATCTTAATTTGTGGTGGCGACGTGCCAAATAATCAAACCATGAATGTTGTATATAAAGAAGTGTTTAATAATATATATATTTTATTTTCATTATATTTAGTAATGTCATGATCGTTCTTTTATTATGTAATTTTACAAAATTGTCTCTTAAAAAGGACAAAATAATATAGCCCCGTGCATCGCACGGATACTGTACTAGTGTTTATAAAAGAATAGAGCTTTATATTTAACTTGTGATTACTTCCAAATTCAAGGTAGTTCATTTATTCAATTTTCTGTTTTCTTTCTTCTTAATTCGTTTTTTTTAATTAAATTACGAATGCATTCACTCCACATTATTGAATTTTTAATTCAATAACAAATTTTTTGTTGAGCCCTGTAGGTGGGATCAAATCTACATAGTAGGACAAATTTTATGCTAAATACATGTAATAGATAAAAAAACGATGAAACTAATTTATTAGTTTTTATTTCAATTTGTTCAATCAAATATTATCATTCTATGATACTGATTAATTATTTTCGTTACATTTTGTACATTAATATCATTCTTAATTATTTATAATTCATTGTTACTGTTCTTATTCTACTGTAATTTATTTAACGACATGTACCATTATATTGCAGGTTGTAATGATTTCAACAAACGACGGATCGGATTCCTATAGCACATCAAGCGATGACGAACTTTCACTTACCAAACAATTATTAGATGATCCACTCGAAGATGATATTTTATTTCAGAGTTTTGATGTCATTCAAACATACTCGGTTCATATTCCTGTGATAATATTCCCAATATTAACAAACACGAACCGTCCTCATGGTGGAACAGAAGTAGTCGACAGCTACATTCGTCGTGATAGGGAACAACGTCATGAACTTATTCTCAACGACGACTTCAAAGGTGAGAATGCTAAATATACACCTGAGCATTTCAGACGTCGATTTCGGATGGATATTGAGTTATTCAAAAGTATTTTACAAGCGATTGAAAATTATGATGACTATTTTACACAAAAATACGATGCAGTGGGAAAACGTGGCTTGAGTCCTTTACAAAAAATGGTCGCAGCTGTACGTATGCTTGCGTATAGTTGTGCTGCCGATCTCCTTGATGAATATGTACAAATTGTTGAAAGTACGGCGATTGAAAGTCTACAACGTTTTTGTGATGCTATCATTGGAATATATGAAGAAAAATATTTAACAAGGCCTAATAAATTTGATGTTGAAAACTTGCTAAAAGAAGGTGAGGCTCGAGGATTTCTTGGTATGCTTTGTAGTTTGGATTGTAAGCACTGGCATTGGAAAAATTGTCCCACGGTTTGGCACGGGACACATACAAATGACTTCAAAAGAGTTCCGACCCTTATCTTAGAGATTGTAGCCTCAAAGAATTTATGGATTTGGCATGCATTTTTTGGCATGGCTGGTACAAATAATGATCTTAATGCCCTGGATAGGTCTCCGTTATTCGATGATATTATTAATGATGTCGCGCCACAATGTGATTTTGTAGTGCAAGATCATCATTATAATATGGGTTATTATTTATCTGATGGAATTTATCCACATATGCCACTCTTATTCAAACAATATCTCACCCCACATCTATGAAAGAAAAAATATTTGCAAAACATCAAGAAGCCATACGAAAAGATGTGGAGCGAGCATTTGTAGTGCTACAAAGTCTATGGCATATTATCAAAGGACCAGCTCGTATGTGGAATGCAAAAGATTTGAGAAAAATAATGAAGACGTGTATAATATTACACAATATGATTATTGAGTCCGAGCATAGTCAAGGCATGAATCCTGAAAGTTGGCAACCTCATGGAGATGAAGCGGTTGAAAATGTTACTCCGGAACATGATTTTACTTTTCTTATGAAAAGGATGAATAGTCGCATCAAACAAATACAGGACAAAAGGGTGCACAAGGATTTGAAGATTGATCTTATTAATCATATATGGTAATTGTACGGTGGCCATCAAGTTGCTTGATTTTGTTCTTTTATTGGGATCATTTGCATAATATTTATCTTTTGGGATGACAATCCTTGAGTTTATTATTTTTCATAAAACAATAGATTGATATTTTATTTATGAATTTTTCGCTTTTAAAATATTTACTTTCTTCAAGTATAAAACATATGATATACCATTGGAGAACCAAAAGAGTCTAGTTTCCAACAAAAATAACGGAAGTAAAAAATATTTAAGTATAGAGAGAATTATGGTCGTTTGATAAAGCTTGACAAAATCTTACTAGTTGCTAGAAAAATAATTGACAAAAAATGTTCATGTTTAACTGCCAATTTTAACGAATAAACTGATTTTATTGGTTGTGAACTATATGGTATATGCTATACCATTGGAAATCCAGAAGAGTCTAGTTTCCAACAAAAAAAACAGAAGTAAAAAATATGAAGTATAGAGAGAGTTATGGTAGTTTGAATAAAGCTCGGCAGAATCTTACTAGTTGCTGGAAAAATAATTGACAAAAAATGTTCACGTTTAACCGTCAGTTTTAAGGAATAAACTGATTTTATTGGTTGCGAACTATATGGTATATGCTATACCATTGGAAAGCCAAAAGAGTCTAGTTTCCAACAAAAAAAAAAAGAAGTAAAAAATATGAAGTATAGAGAGAGTTATGGCAGTTTGAATAAAGCTCGGCAGAATCTTACAAGTTGCTGGAAAAATAATTGACAAAAAATGTTCACGTTTAACCGTCAGTTTTAAGGAATAAACTGATTTTATTGATTGCGAACTATATGGTATATGCTATACCATTGGAAAGCCAAAAGAGTCTAGTTTCCAACAAAAAAAAAGAAGTAAAAAATATGAAGTATAGAGAGAGTTATGGCAGTTTGAATAAAGCTCGGCAGAATCTTACAAGTTGCTGGAAAAATAATTGACAAAAAATGTTCACGTTTAACCGTCAATTTTAAGGAATAAACTGATTTTATTGGTTGCGAACTATATGGAATATGCTATACCATTGGAAAGCCAAAAGAGTCTAGTTTCTAACAAAAAAATACGGAAGTAAAAAATATTAAGTATAGAGAAAGTTATTGTAGTTTGAATAAAGCTTGGCATAATCTTACTAGTTGCCAAATATATTATACAGTGAAAACGTGTGCAATAACTGGTACAAATCATGATAAACAAAATCAAATAACAACTTATCATCCCTAACTGAGTATTGAACAAACCAAAGAAACGTAAAAAAACAGAAGAAAAACACAAATAACAAATACTTTAAGGCCCTAATAACAATTTCATATGAAATGATCTTAAACTTAGCAAACTACAAGGTTTTAAGCAAAAGTCATCCCAAACTCCAAATGCTAGCTCATCACAAGTCCTGAAAATATTAAAAAATAAAAAAAATCAATGCATCAATATACAGTTTAAATGACACCAAACAAAGCCAAGCCAAATAATAAGGCATACCATATTAGATCCGTGAAAAAATTCACTCTCCAACTATTTGTAACCTCTAATGCATCAACTCTTTTCACCACATAAATATATAAATAGAAGAATAAGATGTTAAGAATGAGTATCAACATACCGGATTAAATTTGCAAGGATCGTCATCCTCCAATTCTTTCAATATTTCAGCCTTTCTAAGTTCATAATAAGCTCGACGAGTAGGAGAGAACTTGCTTAAGTCTTGGTTCATAAAGTGGTCTTGCTCTTGCCTCCTTTGCTCTTTCAACTTCATTATACACATTTTTTCTTTCAAATTTTGAGCTCTCTCTTTTACGTCTAGTTCTTTCTGCATTACTTCCGCCCGTAGCTGTAGTTCTTTTGCATCTTTTTCTCTTTTCATCTCCAAAGTTGCTTGATTAATGCTAACTTGTTTCTCTAATGTACAATGCAACTTGCTCAATGCATCCACCACACTTTTTTCCTCATTCAGTTTTCTCTTCCTCTCTTTACAGGCTTTTCTTCCTATCGGGCGCTCAACGCCATCAACTTTGGTACAATCAGAAAGAACATCACAATCATTAATGTTACCTTCTAGTTGATTGACCATTGTTGTTTTGTTGTGCTCAACCCCTTGTTTACATCCTGTAGCCGCCATCTTTGTAAGCTCTTTCGAACACCATTTAGGATTTTTAATCAAAACTTCCCAACAATGGATAAATTTAAACAGAGCACCGACTAAATCTTCATACGACCGCATAGCATTTATTCTCTACACAAGAAACAATAATATATATTAATTAAAGATTAAATGATAATTTTTATAGATTACTGTAATGAACTAAAATTAATCATATTTAATCATATTTAAGATATGAGATTACTGTAATGAACTATATATTTATAAATTACTGTAATGAACTAAAATTAATGAAGTAAATATTTATAGATTACTGTAATGAACTAATAATAATGAACTACATATTTATATATTACTGTAATGAACTACATATTTAAGACATGAGATTACTGTAATATGAACTAAAATTAATCACATCTATAGATTACTATAATGAACTACAATTTGGACAGATGTTCATGTAGATTCATTTTAAGACATGAGTCAAGATTTAATTTCGCTCGATAAGTTAAATAATAAAACAACATTCATATCAAATCATTTGAGTTCGAACCACTTTGTGGATGCCGTTCTAAACGCTCATATTGTGCATGGAACTTGCTCACTGCAAATTGTATTTTGGACCATTTGAGTTGCAGACTATTGTTATTTCGAGCCGTATTGCATGCAACTCCCATATTCTCTTTCCAAGCTTCTAATATACGATCCCACATAGCTACTCCCTTTTGATTGTTACCAACTTCAGCATCCTCCGAGACATATAACCATGCTTTTGTTAATGCAATCTCTTCTTCTTTTGTCCAATCCTGTTTTGCAATCGAAGATTGAGAGTTGGTAGGATTTTGAGTATCTTTTTCTCTCTTCTTTCGTTCTTTGGTTGCATCACGAGTTTGAGTATTGCACATTGGAGCATTCAAAAGACTCTGGAAGGACAATCCATTAATTGGATCAAGGTGAATGCGAGGTTGTTGATCGGCATGAGGATGATAATTTCTATTTGTTGGATCAAAGTGAAGAACAGGTTGAAATGGAAAATTCATTGGATGAACACCATTTAGGATTTGAGCTAGCATGGTATAATTCAATGGATGTTGGGCACCTGAATTGTTTCCAGATTCCTGTGAGTCCATCTTCTGCATATCAAAACCGATAAGTTAGCAACCCACCAAAATAATTAGTAATCATCAGTTTATGAGAGGAAATGAAACACATGTAAATTTACAAATAATACCACCACTTCAATGTGCTGCCACCAAATCACTTAATTAAGTCAACATACAATAATTACCAACTGAATATAGAACCTTACAATAAAATGCTAGTGCAGGAAACAATTGTTTTTTATTACTAAATATAGAACCTAAAACTTGTTATTCCCTCGAGTCTCGAAGGAAATTGACTGTTACACCTATGTAGCAGTAATTACCAACTGCACATTCGGTTGGAACATCCAGCCTTAGGAAAGAGGCAGAGAGTAACATCTTAGTCAAAGGAAAGTGAAAGCACGTTCTCTGTATACTCCAGAAAATCATAAAACAAAATTTCACAACCACAGCCATTTCTTGATATGAAATGCCCAGGAAGACCATCCATATGTAAATAACCAATAGATAAACCAACAATCATCATCTTTCAATATATACAGAATCCTCTTTATTTTCTCATTTTCCCTAACCATGCAATAGTCGTAAACAATTTGCAATTCTTTAAAAATTTACATTATCCTACAGAAAAGAAGAAAAAAAAAGAAAACCACAACAAGTAGCATCAGAAGGTTTCCTCACCTGAGTAGGCACAGTCGAGTTATTGTTCATTTAACTATGGCAGACATCCAAAGCCTGAAAATAATATGACTGTCTCTTTATAAATTCCACTGGTAGTATTTTATATCTCCAATTTTATTCACTGAAACTGAAAGGGTGTGTTATACAGTTTTCAGTATTTCCTTTCAACCAAAAGAATAGCAATAATCACCAACATATTTTCGTACTTCAAATGGTATATAACAGAGGGCACATACAATATAAAGAATATCAACACCCACCAAAGTTAACTAAATGAGACCTTAACAAAAATCAATTTTACTAAATGTTTGTCTCATTTTTGTTGCATTTTTCGTGTTTATTTTATCTTTCTTTTTCCCCATTTTAGGTCGTTTCTTTAGTTTTTAGTCCGTTTCGTGTTTTATCATGTGTTTTCCTTCATCTTGAGCCCTTAGGTGTTTTTCGTTTGTTTTTCCGGTTTTCTTTTGTGTTTTGTCGTTTTTGGTGTGTAGGTCAGGAGCTTTGGGCGAATTTTCTCTTCAGGAAAAGTTGGTTTTGAGAGCATAACTGGATAGATGGGTTCGTTGGTGACGCATAGCAAAAAACGGAACTCAATTCCGAGTTCGGACGAGCCTAAACGAGCCCAAAACATTAAGCCGTGCGCAGCAGCTCAGTTTTCTTCACCGCGGCCGCGGAAGAGAGGAAGTCGAGGCCGCGAGCTGCCCAAAACATCCCAAAACTGGCCAGATGAGCTCTCGGCCTCGGAGATGGTCGCGGCCTCGGGATTTCTTCACCGCGGCCGCGGAGGTCGCTGTTGGGTTCGATAGTACCGTACGGGCTGTACGCAGCGGAATTTAAAATTTTTAAAGTAAGTATTTATCGTATAAATACAACACCCGTACATACTAATTGCGAATTAACTGATCGTCATCTTTAAAACATGCATCATATACAAATTTTGATTTGTTACTATAAAGTAAATACTAGTAAAAATATTTACCGAATGTCTTGAACTCCTTCACTATTGATGATGGATGAGGGAATCGGTTCCCGGTTGTAACTTCAACGACTTGAGGTTACTCGCTAGAGGAATCCAAGTGTCTTCCCTCTAAACGTATCCACCCTATGAAGCCCGGTTCCGACGACTTTCCTTCGCTAGTAGAAAAGACTCGGTTTTCTTGTATAGGAATATTTATGAATTTTATTTGGGAATTTTAAGAACTCTTTCTTGAATTTTATGAAGAACACTTTCTTCTCTTTCTAACACTTAGAAATTTAGGATCAAAAACTTCACTTAAATGCAAAACCATTTTGCATATATTTATACTAAACATTTTAGCATAAAATAATCAACATTTAGTAATATTAAATAAAATCAAATTTTATTTAAATAGTATTTACTAACTTTTGACTTTGAAAATAATAAGATATGTTAAGTAGTTCAAACAACCATCAACAACCATTTTATTATAATCATATCTATTATTATTTTAATCCTTAAATCATATTTAAAGATATAAATAATAATTGGATAATAAATCTTGAGAATCTTTCTCAAGACTTTATTATTATATCATTTTCCCAATATTATAATAATCATATTATTATTATTTTGGATTTTTGAAATTTAAAATCCTATTTTAAAATTCAACTTTATTAATTTAGTAATTACCTTAATTACTAAAGTAATATCCAAAATGTAATTAATCAATCTTATTGATTAATATATTCCTTTAATTGATATCTAATCAAATTAGATATTCATCAATTAATTCTAACCATTAGAAATACAATCTTTACCTTTGTTCATAATTAGTGTGACCTTTTAGGTTCACCTTAATACTAGTAGTGGGTTTACAACACTTTGTAATTTGAGTTAAATCTTATTAACTCTTATTCATGAATTAACCCTTTAATTTATGAACCCACATATCATGGTAANA